CGGCTCCGCGTAGCCCCGTGTGTGGGGTCGGGGGTGCCCACAAAGGTGAGGTCCGGGGCCGCTCCCGACGCGGCCGGAGCTGCGCTGCGTATCGGAGCTGGGGCGGCCGAGCGGGGTTGGGGTCGGGCCCGGGCGGTTCTGTGGGCAGCCGGTGTCCGGCGGAGGCTGTGGGTGGTGGCTTCTGACGCCTATTACAGGTGGTGACTCGGCGCGCCGGTGGGGAGTGGCTGCCCCGTTGCCGCGGGTGTCCGCAGTGACAGCCCTGCAAAGAGACGCTTATGCTCTTTTCCGAGATAAGGGTGAACTCTGCAGGCTACAGCCCGCCTGACGGGCTCTTGAAGAGTCTAAACTTAAGTTAGCTCTTTAAGTACTTCTCTGTTACCTCCGAGCTGCTACTTTTTGAGAGTGCTCTGTTTCCAGAAGGGGCTCTCTCCTCTCTCTCACGGAGCGGCACTTCCCACTTTGTGTTTGGCTTCACGGTTTTCAGTAGAAAAAGCTGAATGTGTTCCCAGATAGTCTTAGAAATGAACTGCAGATATTTATCTCCGTGTTTTGGAGCGGGTTCTGCTGGTGTATATTACAGAAAATGAAGTTGTAACTGCTCCCTTCGTTGCTGGAGTAGAAAGACTTACAGTATTTCAGGTAGCGTGAGACCTTTGGGGAAAAGGCATTGGCAGCCATCTCATCCCGAGCTTAATTGTACTGAGGTTGTGACTCCACGAGCTGCTCAGCCAGCCTGGCGACTGTCATTGAAATGGGGAGGTCCTGCTGCCGTCTTGTTTTCATTTTTCTCCTCTGCTTCCACCTGAAAGCTGTTTGTTTGTGTCACTACATGTGAAAAGCAGACTGTTCCTCTTTTTCATTCCTCAATTGCTGGCACCTGTACCCCTGCCTGTATGAACGAGATACCTTCGTTTAAAACTTAACCTTTAGAAATCCCCACTTTTGCTGCTTTGCTTATCCTGCTGCCTTACTCTGTTTTTTGTGCCTGTGACTGTAAAGCCAATGTTTTGTCCTGAAATATTTTATAGAAGACTTGGACCTTAAAAGGGAATAATTTGATCAAAGCATGAGTGTGTCATTAAGGGCCATCAAGACTTTTAAAAATGTGAGGAACAAAGATTAGAGTGACAGTGAAGCCATGTGAATAATAAAATATTTTTATTTCAAGCTTAGTTAAGAGGAACTTCTGAAATGAATGCTTTGTTAGTCATTTAACTCCTTTTGTCTTTCCAAGACTACAGCAATGAAAATCAAACTAAGTTTTAGATGTTGTCTGGCACTTTTTTAAATGAGTGATTGAAGGTCATAAACTGCTACTTCCTAATGTTTCAGCAAACATGTAAACTGGGGTTTTTATTAAGGCAGATCTGTCTGAAAATAGTGGTGCTGATGCTTTATGTAGCAGCTTGTGTCAATGTGTATCTTGTTCCTGCTCTGTAAATAGGCATAGAAGTTACACCTGTGGTGTATGGAATTGAAGCAGAAATGTGTGGAAAAGTTAATTCACACAAGTTTGTTGTCAGTTAAGCTCACAGTTATGAGGACAGAGAAAGCTACCTTAGGAGACAGTTGCTCTCTCCTGTGGATAAAATCATGAAATGAGAGCTGCTGTATATAGTTAATCTCTATATGAAGTCCTTTCCACAAGGAATTCTGTTTGGGTTTTTTCCCCCAACTTTAAATTGTTTTGTAGACTTGTATAATAAGTTCTTACCTAGCCATAGATAGCTATATTAATTCTTGTAAGTGATTCAGCATTTCTACAATTCTGTTTTTTTGTAGTACTTGCTTAAGTCCTTTCTTCAGGAAGTGTGTTATAAACGGGTCATTAATTTTGCCAAGGTGTGGTTTGCTTTTTTTTTTTTTCCCCCCACACAGGGACTTGTCAGCCTGGTGTTCTGTCAGTGTTATCTATAGTTCTTTTCTAGATGGTGAAGTAAAGGTAGAAGAAGAAAAGGCTTTGTAAGCTAATTGAATGTATTCAGAGAAGACAAAATCTGAAGGACAGTTAGTGTGTATGACTGGTATAAAATCTGTGAGAAGGAAGTGAAAGCCTGAGCAAGAATAGAGTGCTAACCTGGGTTTGGTTTTGGTGTGTGTAGAATGCTTGCAGAATAATTATTTTGAGAGCCTGTAAACCGTTGTAAGCCAATTATTTGGTTGAAGCAGCTGCATGTTGAGGGCATAATAAATAACAGCTGGATTAGTGCAGGGGCAAGTACGTGGTGTCTGGCTGTTAGCTTGGAATAAACTTTCGTTTTATTATGGGAGAAAACTGACTTCTGTATTTTAATTGCAGAAATGAAGTTCAAGACAACTGAACTATGCATTTTTATGTTCTGGTGTCTTTTATAGGCAAATATTGTAGAAAAAATACAATATTTGAGATTTTGGACAGGATTGTTAAGCACTCAGCTTATTAAAAGGAATACTATGTAATGCTAACGACTACTTGATTGGCAAGAGTGTTCTCAGAAAATACGAATGTTAGTCAAATTTTCATGTGGTTAAAGAGTTATTACACCCATTTATAGACCTAGAAATAGGCAGGGATAGTTTGTGGTGAAGAATTCTGTGCTGGTATTTATCAGGATGTTTTTTTTCTATTTTTCTTTTTAGGGCTCTGAACTTAGGAATCTAAATGGATGAATTTTTTTTTTCTTTCTTAGTAATGATTTGATTCCCCTAACTGGTAAGCTGTTTCTTTTTTCAGAGCTGAAATCAGCAGTGTTTGATGACTTTAGCAAAGAGGAAGAATGGAAGGTACAATTTTGTTAAATTTTTTATAAGAATTCTGTCATTATTGAACAAGAAATCTGTATTGCTGAGTAAAGAACAAATACGTAAAATTAGTGGCTGGCATTTTCACTTTTGTAATAGAAGTAATAGATTTTACTTTGGTAATTCAGATCTCTGTATAATACATATTGGAAAATCTAGAGGCTAATACAGGAAGAACAAATGGTTAGTAGTCTCTCTTTTTTTATTAGTTGTGAAGGAAAATTACAAACTGTGTTTATCTTCACTTTCCTTTTGAAAGACTTATACTTTATTAATTTCAAAATTTACACTGCACTGCAGTACATATGGAGCAGGATTCAGCAGTATGATACTTGTTAGAACTGCTTAAGCTATAAAACAGTTTTAAAATAAATACAGATATATTTGAGCAGGCCATGTGGTAAATTAGCAGGAATTCAAAAGACTTGTGTCCAAGTGAAACTTTCAAAATACTTTCTAGTATGTACAGGGAACAAAGCACTTATTTAAGATTGTCCTCATCTTTGGAAATCCTGTACATTAGGAGCTGTCTTCTGAGATTAATTTCCCCCTGCAATGTTAGTGTATGCAGGTAATGAAAAACACAGTAATAAAATAGCTTTAGCTTCAAACTTCTATGCCAAGCTGTTAAGGAAATGACATGGGTTTAATATAGCTGATTAATTTATCTAAATACTTGTGTATTTTCTTTAAATATGTTTAGATAATGCTTTTAGATGATTACACTACTAAATTACTGTCACTGTGCTGCAAAATGACTGATCTACTGGCAGAGGGTATCACAGGTAAGCATAATTCTTATTAATACACCAGTGGAAATATCTTGGTAAGAAAAAGGGAAAGACTGAAATGGATTAAATTGATAGTACCTTTGCAAGAAATGGTCTTTATTTGGCTGATGAAGACAAGTAGCTATGGGGTATTAGAATAGTAGACTTTCAGGCTTCTACAGTAGTTACTCAGTTGGGATTTTTTTATTTTTTTTTTAATGAAAAAAACAAATGTTTCTGTGTCTGAAAGCTCAAATCCCCCTTTAAAATAATTTTTTTCTAAAGATTGCTCTAAGAGTTTTTTTGTTCGATTGGGTTTTTTTGGTGGTTTTTGTCCTTTTACTTTTTTTTTTGTTTGGTTGTTGTGGTGGTTTTTGGTTTGGGATTTTTGGTGGATTTTTTTGGGAGGTGGGAATGGGTGTTTTTTTGCTGATGGCTATTTCTGAAATTGAAATAAATTCCCAAAATGTAAATGAACTGGTTTTAATTAGCTTTAGGTCTAGATTTTCAGAAATGCCTGTGTAAGAGAGCATTGTTTAGACTTAGTTATTTATTCCACAATACTGTTCTTGTACCAGTTATTCAGCATAACATGGTTATTCTGGAAATATAATAGTAGAGCTCTGGCAATTTTGCTTTTTGGTGTGTGTTTTAAATTGTAAGTGCTACTTATCCTTCGTGAGAAACTTTTGGTGAGCATGTATCCTCTTCATCAAGAAGAAACCTTTTATTTTTAGTGGGCAAACTGCTGAAAAGAACCTGTCTTCCCACATCCAGATGTCTGACATTACTTATCTTTCTTGTTCCTCCCTTATAAAACTTTTGAGCCACAAGAATCTCTGCATTCTCTAGTGTACTGTAACACTATACAGTAATGACTTTGTTAAACAGAGAAAAACAAGAGATGAGTGAAGCTGATTTGCTGAAAATGTCTTCATTTGTGCCTGCAATTATGTTGAGAGAGAGTAATTGCCCAGGAAATAAACAAAGGACAGAAGAGGCTGTAGTCCAAAATGATGCCCTGCATAGTTTCTCCCTCTCCTTCAGTGTGCTGGAAAAAAACCAATCTTGCCAAGAGAGTTCGTAATGGGCCCTGTAGTTGGAGTATGTTTGCAGTGCTGTTCTGTTGTAGGAATGTAGAATACCTAGGAGGAATTTATTCCTACAACTTTAGTTGTTACTAGACTGAGAGTTGAGAAAGCCTTGTGGTAACCTTCTGTATCTAAAATAACAAAGAAATAAATCAAGGCTCTTGGCAGAAGGTACATCCTTACCTCTAGTATTGTGGACAACTTGACTGCTGTTGCTTTATTTTTATCAACTCTGTATTAAAATATGTGCAGTATTTTCCTTAAAGATGCATAATGTTCCTAATTATAAAAATGTAGTATTTCTTACTTTATAGTGGTGGAGAATGTATATAAAGACCGTGAGCCTGTCCCACACATGAAGGCAATATATTTAATAACTCCCACCAAAAAGGTTAGTATTTTAAAGTGTCGCAAGATCTTTCATACAGAAAAAAAGTAACCTTATTTTAGAATGTTTATTTACTGTGTACAGCTATGCTGTACTTAACTTCTGCATTTTCTGATACTCCTCTGTGTGATGCCTCATGTCCCAAGATGAAAAGCCAATGGAGTGCCACCATGCAATACATTGCAAACATGTACCTTGTGGTCAATGTAGGCACTCTGTCATTGCTTAGCAGTTGTAACCCCACTGAAAGAGATGTTGTATCACATAATGATGCAATACACTGAAAAATAGAGTTCAAAGTAATGGCTCTAATAAGAGATTACTGTTACTTCCTAAAAATTCTTGTGAGAATATATCTCAGCACTGTTACAGCTGGAAAATTATGCAAGTACTGTGATGTGTGTGCTTCCTGAAATGAGCTTGGTGCATGACTGACCATCTGTAACTGCTTGTTATTCTTGATCTGGAATTAAAAATCATAAACTTCAGTGTTTTCTTATATGTTGAATTGCAGTATTCCCAAGTGGGTCTTGGTAATAGGGTGGGAGGAGAGGAGGGAGAAGCTTTGTCTGGTGTGTGTAGAAAGGCGAAACACTGGCATGATGGTTTTTTATTTTTCCTCCTTGCCCCCATAAGTCTGTAGATGGACTGATTGATGACTTCATCACTAAATCATCCAGCAGATACAAAGCAGCATACGTGTATTTCACTGACTGTAAGTAAGCTTTTGGGTTTTAGTTTAGTAACTTTATATGGGTAAATAAGTAAGCTGCTCACTTCTCTTGTTTATAGCTGAGTAAGTGAAAAGTTTGGGCCCTGTTTCTCTCAAGAAGGTTTGAAACTCAAGTAATTAACATATATCTGGGTTGCCAGGCTGTGGTCACCATGCTGTGTGGCAATAGTAATTTCTTTCACAAATTACCAAACATTCTTGATTGTTTTCCACCTCTGTTTTTGATTTGGGTAATGTAGCCTTTTAATTTTTAAATATTCCAATCTTCTCCTGTGTTAGAGTGTGGGGGAAGACAATTCAAGTCAAACTATGTGTCTCTACATAAACAAAATAGTATTGAAAACATAGCTGCATGAGGACTTTCCGCAAGAACAGCGTTAGTAATTGGTTGCTTCAGGTAGTTCCTGAAGTGAGACAGCTTTTTTCCTTCCCTGAAAGAAGGGGCCTGCTGAGCCCTTGCATGCGTGACATAAATTGCGTAGCAGAGGCAATTATTGGGAATGGGGTTAATGTGACTGCACATGCCCTTGCAGTCAGTCAGTGTGACTAAAAGGGCATGTAAAGAGGGGAAAATAAAGAACCCAAATGTGCTGCTAAAGGCAGAGACTCAGATGTGCCTGTCTTTGTGGACTGTGCATATCTGCTACTGGATATTCTGAAGGCAGTATTAAATTACTATCCAAATTCTTGGTTTCTTGTTTAATTTCACGCTGAAGCAGCAGTTACTGTTCTGGAAAAGTACTGCTGTCTTGCTGTATGCTCCTTGGTTGCAAGTGGGCAAGCTTTCAGTTTGAATACTTGCCAAAACTTTTCCTGTTGAGAGGAATTGCTCTTGAGTTAGAGAAATAAGTCCATCACTTCCAAGTCTGTGTAGTATTTGTGTTATCCATGTATTCCTTAAATTCAGTTTCTAGACTGGGATCCAATGTAGCCTGGAAGTGTGGTGGAGTACCTTAGGCATCTATAATTAAATTCCATATTTCTGTATTTTTCTCTTATATATGTACACATGATTTCTTCTGGTACCTTGGGAAATGTTTTTTTCTCACCTACATGACAAGGACTAGCAGAAACATTAATTTTGATAAAATCAACATACTTCAGTTGCCGACTGCTAATGAGTATTCAACAACCTTTTTGCATGCAAAAAGCTGGTATAAATTGAGCGGTGGAGCTTCTCAAAAAAAATCTCAAACAACATTGATTATAAGATCTATTTCACTTTAGGAAGAGTAGGCAATTTTTTTTTGTATTTTATGGTTAATTGGGTCTTAATTTAGAATTTTCTGCTCTGAATACTGCATGCTTATAAGTGAGCTAACTGCTGGAATAGTACAAATTATTTATACTTAAGAGTCTCCTTCTTTTCCTAGTTTGTCCTGACAGCCTCTTCAATAAAATTAAGGCTTCATGTGCAAAATCCATAAAAAAATGCAAGGAGATCAACATTTCTTTCTTCCCTTATGAATCTCAGGTAAATTTAATTCTTCATCTTAACAGTAGTCTGGAAGATTATTTTCAAATGCTGCTGACCTTTTAGAAAACAATGAAATAGAATGTAGCTTTTGACTGACAAACTCTGTGTGAGGTATTTCCATTTGGGCACATTTCCAGTGCTTGCTTGTGCTTTTCAGATGAAAATAAATGCTCTTATTTACTCTTTGCACTTGACCTCTTGGTAAGACTTGGTGTCAGTTACAATAGGGAGGTTAAGGAAGGAATCTCTTCCCTAAGAGCAGGCAAGTATTCTGATTAGTCTTTAGTAAGAGTTTGTTATTGCTGATACTGAGGTGATGCTGATACTTTGATAGGTTGGGTAGGTTGGTGCATAGGAATTGGAGTAACTTGGGCTTGGTTAAAGTCAGGAAAGAACAAATGGACTAAGAGAACTGAAGGGGAGTGGAACAAAAACCACTACAATTTGACAGTCTGCAAAGTGAGACGAGAACATGGAAATTCTGTTTTCTCAATGAAAGACCTATACTACCAATATACAAAATGGGTGTTTTCCATGTGCAGCCACACAGTAGGTGTGTTGAGGAAGAATTTGTTGCTCATGCCCCTCATCAGACACAGAGAGCTGAAATGCACACTGATCCTCATTAAGACAGTGAAGCTTTCAAGCTCTGCCTAGTTCTGGGGGCTGGAAAACTAACCAGAACTAACCACGGATGTTTCCCATGTCAAACATTATCAACACATCAAGGGTGACAGCTCTTATGTATACCAAGTGGCAAGTGAATATAGGAGGGATTGCTGCTAGCCCTGTCTCACTGTGGTGCAGTTTCCTGGATTGAAGACACACTCATTTTTATTATAAAGGGTTCTTTGTTATTTTGGTTGAGAATCCATCAGGGGATAATGAGTTTGGTGGCCTGTTTGTTTGCTTTCCAGTGAGGTTGATGTCTACAAATTTTGTTTCATGCTGGTTATGGGAGCCCTGCCAAAGCTGCTCTTCTGTACCAAATAAGGCCTATGAAAATGTTGTGGTCCTGGTTCTCCAGAGGACTCACCATGAAAACAGAAATCAGGACTACTTTTCTGAAGTTGAAAATAAGCAGCATATAGGCTGGGCAGCACTCTTCTTGCTTTTACTGTAGTTTTGTATTCTTAGTGTCTGGGGTTGTGAGAAACTTTTGAATCCTTAGCAGAGGAACAATGTTAACTGGTCTGCCTGCTTGCTGGGATTCTAAGAGTAAATAATCAGACTAAGTTCTGGGCAAAGTTCAGGTGATTATCTACTCAAGTGAAGCAAACACCTTTATCTGGATAGATGTTCTTTGACTCGGTAGTTACAGAGTCCATCTGAAACTAGAGAAAATCCATTTACTGACAATGGGATTGTTCCCATGTTTACATTCCATTTACAAAACTGTTGAAAAAGCCTTTCATCTCTGTAGTACTAAGCTGCTTTAATCAAGATTTAATGCATTTAAAGAATTTCAGCTATTGAAGGTAAGTTCTTAATATTAAAAGCAGATACAATATGTAAAATTTCATTTTAAACCAATTTAACCTTGATGCTTTCTATGATCATTCTGATATTGCATTGTATGGCTCTGTACAAGACACTGATGGGTGTTTAGTTCCTTTTGTCCTGTAAGCAATTTGAAAAATAGAGTAATTTACATAGGAGACTAATAGGGAAAAAGTCTAAGAACAAGAAGACGACGAGCAGGGATAGGGAATGAGGGTTGGTTTGGGATTTCTTTCTTAAGTGTCCTATGTATGACTTTTTCTTGCAGCATATAGTTTTAAATTATTAGCAAACTTTTTACCAGGTGTTTTGGCAATCTGCAAGTTCGGCCCTATTTTTCGTGTGTATGTTTTACGTAGGTATTTACTCTCAACATCCCAGATGCATTCTACCGCTGCTACAGTCCCACTCTGGAAAAGACAAAGGATAAAGATGCTGTACTGCAAGTCATGGCTGAACAAATTGTTACCTTATGTGCCACGCTAGATGAGAATCCAGGAGTACGATATAAAAGGTGGGGCAAAGTTAGTGTTATATTGTAATTTCTTTCAATTCCAGGGTGTCTTAGTTTGAAAAGACAGGTGTCTGCTAAGGAAGGCAGGAGCCTCCCTTGAAATGGAAAATGTAAACCCCCTCCCTACAAATTATTATAATTTTGAAATTGAGGGGCTGTCAGGCAAAGATATAGGAGTAGGAATAACAGTTCTTTACTAGTATGTATAAATAAATTTTTAAAAACCTCTACAACTTAATAGGAAAATTAAAATAAAATGCAGTAGTACAAAAAACACTGACAGAATGTAGCCTGACACCCGGTTGGACCAGGTGTTGGTAGCAGTCCAATTAAATTGTGGCTTCAGTCCTCCGGGAGTGACAGATGTGGTTCTGCTGAAGTAGTGATCCTGTAGAAGGGTGTAGTTTTCCTCTGAAGGTCCAGTGGTGGTGTAGATGGGTCCTGTCTTCCTCTGGGAATCCAGTGGAGCAAGGCTGCCCGGGGTGTTCTGAGTCTCGGATTATACCCAGGTAGGAATGCTTGGCTCCTCCTGCTGGGTGGAGCATCTCCCAATGGGATGATGTAATTTTATCAGTCATGCAGTGAGACTCAATGGCCCATTAACCAAGATAAGCCTTGGAGGGAGGATGGGTCTGGAAGAGATAAAGAACACTGTCCCACCTGGTTTTAACAGCTGGTAATAGAATACATACTTTTGGTTACATCTTGCATTGCAATTTAAGACACAGGGCTTACCACCTTATTTTGTCATAGCTTGAGGCTGCAGCATAATTTGATTTTTTTTTTCCTCTTGTAGCTGTGGATTGGTTTTAATCCACAAGACTGAAATATGGAATAGCAGGAATTTGTGAAGTGTAGGTAGAGCAGTGTTTTTCTGTGTACATGCATGTAACAGTACTTGCTATACCTCTTGTTCTGAATGGTTTGTTTCATGTCTGGTCAGTAGGGTGACACTGATATGCCGCATTCTTGTATGCCACATGCGTAATCCTGTAATAGAACTGCTGCTGTTCAGCCATTTACAGCTCTGCTTGGCAACAAGAAATCCAGAAATTGCTGGGGCACATGGGATCCGGATTTCTTGTAGAGATATTGAGAAGAATGCCTCTTTTGAACTCTGAAAGGGATTTACTATCTTTGAAGTCAAAGTAGGTTTCTGAAATTGTATTCAAGGACTGCATTCCGTGGTGTAATGTGAAGTAGTATCTTATTCTCTATGAAGGTAACAAATAATTGCTTGACTGGTTTTTTTCTGTTCTTTTTCTTTGTTTCTTTCTTGTTTCCCACCTCTGAGTGAAACTTGAGGTGCTGGCCCATGTGCCAGCTAATGCCAATCTTTTGGCTGAAGCTGTTTCTGCTGTGTGAAATACCTGAAGCATTCAAAGAGTGAAATAATAATGTAAAAGTGAAAATATATTGGAAATATTTAAAATGGAGTTCAGAAACTTGTGAAAGTGGTGGATCAGTCTAGGGAATTTTCTGTTTTAAAGGTAGCATTTTAGTGTTCTGATGAAGAAACATGAGTTATTTTTGCATGCTTCCTTTTTTCCAGTGGACCATCTGATAGAGCCAGCAAACTTGCACAACTTGTTGAAAAAACTCTTGAAGACTACTACAAAACAGATGAGAAAAGCCAAATAAAGGTAGAAAGTGAACTAAAATGTTTATTTATTTTTTTGTAAGTTTTGGGGAAAAAATCTTTGTATTATTCTTCAACAGTTAAGTTCTACAAATGTAAATCTTATTTAATAATAAAGGCAACTAGTTGCCATTTAGTTGTTTTTGTGGATGAAAGCAATGTAGAGATGAATAACTGTTGGAGTAAAGCTGTATTTGTGTGACCAAACTGATTTTATTTGAACAATTAGCCCTGTGATAATGTAGTGGGATGCTACAAACCTGAAGACTAGTGGATAAATATTGTTTTAAAATCACCTTCCATAATGTCATGTGTAGAAGGGGCTTCCTGCAGAATTGAAATATTTCCCCCGAAGGGTTATATTGTCCACAAAGATACAACTTTTCACATAAATAATGGTTTTGATCTGTCACTACAGATAAGACCTGGTTAGGGCAGCTGCTTAAACACAAAACCCTGGGCTAAACCATTCTGGCTTTATGACTTTGTGCTTTGCTACAAAATTAAATGTATGTGCTGCTACTGCCACTTCACTAAATCCCTAAATGAAACTTTCGGTTGAATGTTTGGAGGTCTTTTTCTGTATTGCAGCACTATCTGATGTGCAATACAAACAATGAAGTTATCTGTTAAATCTCTGGACAGCCTTTTTTGGGTTTTGTTTTTCTTTTACATTTTTTGTTCACTAGATGAATAAAGCTCAGATTTCTGAGTATATTGAAGTGGTCTAAGAGCATTGCTTTAAAATTAGTATTTAAAACCATTGTATATCATTAAAATGTTCAAACACTTGGACCATAGTGCAGTGTTTTTCAGTTACTTTTATAAAAATACCTGCAGTGCTGTGACTTACTGCAAATAGATTTAACATGCATTAACTTTGTACTGTATGTCTTAACTTTGTGTTTGTTTGATGGCTTTCTAGGCTAAAACCCATTCCCAACTAATAATAATTGATCGTGGCTTTGACCCAGTATCAACTGTGCTCCACGAGCTCACCTTCCAGGCAATGGCATATGATCTGCTACCCATTGAAAATGATACTTACAAGCAAGTACTTAAAAAAAAAAAAAAAAAGCAAAAAGCGAAATAGTTTATTCTTGATTATAAAATCCCTGAAATTGTTTAGTTGAATTGCACCATGGCAATATTAGCTGCTCATATTGCATAATGGTTGCTTCATTTATTGTTAGTCTTTCCTCTTGTATTTTTACCTTCATCTTTTTCTTGACTTCCTCCCTTAGTTGTGATTAGGTAGGATTTAATTGGCATTTTTGCTAAGTTTTGAGTCCAACAAATTGCATTTTTTAAGGACTAAGCACCTTGTACTACTCTTATAAAGCCTTAGGAGTGCACATTGAGATTCTGTAGATTTTCTTTCATATTGTCAACTTTTTTTGGCATAACAAGACAATCAATACCACTAACTGAATACTGAGAAAGAGCTACGTTATTTCTCAGGAATGCTTACTTTTATAGCACCAGTCATGTAATTTGTGTAGTTACTAAAATTTACATGTTTTATTGTAAATACACGTTTAAATCACTCATGTTCAGTTTATAAGCACAGTTTGGAGTAGCGTTCATTTGCGTAAGTTATGTGCTTTACTGTCTGATTGTTCTGACAACAAGGATTTTGGTAGGACTTTGCTTTCTGATGACCCACTACAGCAGAAGAGACCTGATGGCCTCTGTTCAGCCAAGCCAAAAGGAATGTATATCTTCAGTCAGAAGCACTGAGTGAAGATTTTAATAGAAAATTCAGAGTTCTATGAATCTGGGTTTGATTACTGGGTATGAAGATGTAGCAGAGTATATTTTTTAGGTAGTCATGATCTGACTTTCATCATTAATCTTGTAATTTTTTCTTTCTTTTGCTTTCTGGCAGTCGGCACCGTGTGAGTTTGTGTAAATGTGAAAATATCATGTGGCATGATTGCTGTCTTGTTTTAGGTTTATTGCTGTTTGTAGTCACATAATAGCTGCTCTGTAATGCTGTGCTGCAGTTTCTTTTATATATGAAGTACTTTGTCCTGCTTAGCATTTTGTTGGTGAATGTGACTTCATTTTCCTTTAGTTATAAAGTCTTATGGTACACAGAGAAAGCTACACTTGGCAATTGCAGTGTGTATTACTTTGTGCAGTTTGCATTTGAAACTACAGGGAAGTTACCATTGAAAACTGAAGAGAAATTGAGGTGCATGTAAATGTGTGTTTAAAGCTCTAGTTACTGTTGGTTGAAAACAATGTGCAGAAGCTATTGCCCCAAAGAATCTAAAATTCATCTGCTGCTTTTATTTTAAAATAGGTCATCTGTGAAATCCTTCTGTAAATTATATTTTGTCAGGCAATAGCTTGGCTTATAAATAAAAACCTTAGTCTATTACTGCTGTTACCATTTATATTGATTAAACTGTTACAAATATTACTGTAATAAGTGATGAAAATTGGGGGGAACCCAAACCCCAAATAACTGTCTGAATTTTCCCTTGGAAGATACAAAACAGAAGGCTCTGGTGGGAAGGAAAAGGAGGCAATTTTGGAGGAAGATGATGACCTGTGGGTGAAGATGCGGCACAAGCATATCGCAGATGTGATAGAGTATGTGAATAAATAACAAAGCCAGCTGGTTGGTTTCTTTGAGAGGGAGGGTGTTTGAGCTGTTTATTTGGAATACAGAGAGTAATGAACATGGTTGCAATACAGATTAGATTCAGTTAAGTAATCAATGCCAGGAAAAAACTGTACTTCAAAAATACAATATGGACCCAGTATGCAGTTATACTAATGCTACTTGCAGTTCTTGAGGTAAATGGAAATCAAGTAATTTCCTGGCAAGTATTTTCAAATATTTGAAATCTGAAGGGGTTATTTTGCATGCAGTACTACCAAGCTGCTGCATCAAATGACATTATAAAGATATTGCAGATAGAATGTTTAATATTTCCTGTGTAAAAAATCACTCTTTTTTCTGAAGATAGACCTGTATTTCAGGCTGTTACTTTCATTCAGAAGTTTTTCTTGCAATTCTTTTAAGATGTTAAGAAAACAGTTAAGAACTCATGTGCTATTGCCTTTGATTCTTTTCCTCTTTTCTTCAGGGAAATACCCAAACTTTTGAAAGATGCTTCATCAAAAACAAAAGCAGCAGAAGGAAAAGTAAGTTGTTTAAGTTGAGGTATTGTTTTTCCTGGTAATTTAGTTATTTTCAGCTGATCAAATCCATGTAACTCATGGATCTACTACCGAAATTAAGGCTTTTCTTAACTGTAGTTTTCAGGGGTTGTGGGGAAGCGAAGCTGCAACAGGAGGGGAAATAAGCATGTCGTTTATTGGGGCAACAGATCTTCAGGTTGTGACATTTCTTTCCAGTTATCCATATCTGCTCTGTCCCAGTTGATGAAGAAGATGCCACTCTATCGTAAGGAGATTAGTAAGGTAAGGGGTTTTGTGTAAACACAACTTCACCATAAATAATTCCGTGCACTTTAACTTTGTTTTGTTGAAGTCTAGTTTTAGTCTGTCATTTTCCTGTAGTGTGCTATATAGCTGTTCTCCAAATTAATGTTTTCACCTTCTGTAAAATTTAGAGAAAAAAACGTTATTCCATGTGTTTTGTTTTACTGTGTAAAAGAATGAAATAGTTTGTGTGCTTTGAGGATTAAAATATCATAACGGCTTAATGTTTTACAAGGTATTATGGGGGTAAATCTCTAAGTGAAGGGGAAAACACAGAAAATGCTTGATTTTGTCCTGAAGGATTGACTCTTGTAACCAGTAAAAATTATGGATATGCTAGAAAAAAAATCGAGCTAGGACAGCATTTATTTTCTCTTTTTTTTGTTCTTTCTGTCTTATAGCAAGTTGTTCATCTTAACATTGCAGAAGATTGCATGAGCAAGTTCAAATCTAACATAGAAAGGCTCTGTAAAACCGAACAGGTATGTTTAAAAAAAGCCACAAACAAAACAGCAACTTTGCAAGTATTGCAAGTACCACTTTTCTGTTTGCAGGAATAGAAGCTTGTTTTAACTGACTAAGCTACTATGTCTCTTGCCTTTATTTTGTGACCAGTTTTTGAGGTAGTAGTATTAAAACTAAGTGTAATATACAAGGCTCTTAATCTCCTAATAAGGTGGTGTTCCTAAGAGTTTTGGGGGGTTTTTTGGTCTTTAAATTTGGCTGATTTGTATAAGGATCACCTTCATTTTCATGGCTCAAAACTCCTACAAGGTTCCTTTAATATGTTGTGCAGAGGGAAGCCCTTTTTAAATGTCTGGGGAAAGTACCTTTTAGGAGGCATTACATTGTGATTATAATTTGCATTTCTGAGAATTCTAGATATCACAGTTTTAAATGTTTAAGAGTGTTATGTAATGTTATTAAAATGCTGTAACTATGGAAATAAATATCAGACCTGTCATACTGAGTTTAAATTGATGCAGCTTGATTGTTTCCTGAAACCTGTGGTTTCCTAAAAATGCCTTTCCAAACACACAGAACAACGTTGATTTAGATTACTTTAATTATTTTAACCATGATGTCTGTTTTTTATTTTTAATTAATTTAGGATTTGGCTCTTGGAACTGATGCTGAAGGTCAAAAAGTAAAAGACTCTATGAGGGTCCTCCTTCCAGTTCTGCTCAACAAAAGTCATGATAGCTATGACAAAATCAGAGCTATTCTCCTGTATATCTTCAGCACAAATGGTATGACAAGTTGCCCCATTTTTTTTTTTTTCCTCAGTGCTATGAACTTAAACTCAAATTTTAGGATTGTACAGTGGTTGTAGTTAGCCTAAGTCTCTGCATTGGAATTGGTAGCTGGGTTTGAAAGTAATCCTGTCCATCCTCTGTATATTCTCTCAGATTAGCAGCAAAGATACTATTGATAAGGAGTTAAGAGATGTAATTCAAGTGTAGATTAATACAATGTTTTAATTCTTATTCTTGCATGTGTGCAGTAGTTGGTTTTCTTATTTTCACATGTTATTGAAGCTGTTAAAGGGGGAGCTCCATGTCAGTTGCAACCTGAAAATTAAGTCAGTGGGGAAAAACTTGTTGTAGAGAAGGAGAAAATTGGCTTAATGTCAGTCTGAGGAATCTGTAGTTTTGGTCTCAAGAACGAACCATTAAAGAAAATTTTATCTAAAATAATACTGTATTATGTTAAACTTAGACTGCTCACACAAAACAAACAAAAAAGTTCTGGACTAAATAGTAGCCCAGAATTTGTGAGAGAAAACTGGTCTTACTCACAGTCACTTGGTAATTGTTGTCTGTTTTCCATATATTGAAGGAACTACCCAGGAGAACTTGGACAAGCTGATCCAGAATGTACAAATAGAAAGTGATAGTGATATGATAAGAAATTGGAAATACCTTGATGTTCCTGTTATCTCTTCAGTAAGAATGTATTTATTTATTTAGTAATTTCCTACCGTCCAAGGACTACAGCTCTTTCAGCAACTCTTAGTGATGTTATCCAGATCTGGTTCTGGAAACAGATAATTACTAGGAATTTTTTTTTGTGGGGTAAATTTTGAAAATTATTATTATTGTATGTTAGTTGTTTAAAGTAACATACACATAATGTTCCTTCTGCAATTAGATGGTGACTTGAGCTAGTTGATTTGGGAAACTGCCAACTTACTCAGTTCTTTGTCTCTGAAGTTCATATTTCTAGTGTATCCTGAATTCTAGAGGTATTAATAATTGTTCTTTATCATTATTATTTCTTTAAAATCTCATGCTTATCCCCCTTCCTTCTGCTACTGACTGCTAGTAAGTTCCAAAAATCCAGACACTAAATAACACAACCATATTTTGAAAATCTTTTCAGTTTGTTGCTCAGCAACATAAATACACAAGAAGGGACCGTTCTAAAGAAGAAACCTTTCAGCTTTCTAGGTGGACTCCTGTTATCAAAGATGTTATGGAGGTAAATTTCACCAACTAATTAATTCATGGTTGCAGTGCAGAGATTTACTTGAGTGAGTTGTTACAGCCAATCTTTTGAATTCCGTAGTATTTTGAGTTAATTTTGTTAATTACATCTGGTGGGCAAATTCATCACTTCTAGTCTGTCTCTAATATAGAGCATTAGACTGCTGTTAGTAATACATCTTGTTAGAGGTCATTTTAACAATGAAGCAAATGAAAGTGAAAGCAAGAAGTCTTTTAGAAAAATTTGTCCTGAGATTTGCAGTGTTTGGTATGGTTTAAAGATCTGTATCTTGGTTTTAACTCCAATGGGTCTTCAAACTGCAATTCCAATCTAAACTATAGTGTGGTAGAGCCTGAAAGGTGTTATTTGCCAGAAGTGTAGTTTTATTGTCCTTAAACCTCTTCCTAAGCATCAGTCAGTGACTGATATCACAAAGAATGGTGAGTTTATTGGAGTGTTAGTCCGACTCAGTGCCGTCATTCATAGATTCTTGGTGGCTTTCACATGTTCGTTTATGATTTCAGGGGAGCCTGACTTCTCTCATACATTGCCATATAGAAATTAAATAGTTTAGGGTTATTACAGATGAAAAGCTGCTAGTGAAATCTGAACAGTTAAATCAGTAATATGTTTACTAAAGAAGCATGTGTATTCACAATTCCTTGTGATACACAAAACACATTTTAGCATTATGTGGTCTAGCATTTTGTTAGGTCCAGCTTTATTCTCATGAATAGTGTGTAGGAGCACTATTCAAGAGGTGCTACTTGCAATTACTTGTTGGGCTGCATGTTTTGGTGTGAAATTCCAGTCAGACATTGTTTCTGAAAGCTGAGAATTGCTGAGGTTAAGGTCTGTACGGCTTTTTAAAGTCTGTCTTTATTTTGCACTTCAGGATGCTATAGAAAACAAATTAGATTCAAAAGACTGGCCTTATTGTTCCCGGTGTCCTCCCACCTGGAATGGTTCAGGAGCAGTAAGGTAAATGGTTTAATTTCCTGAAACATAATTTACCCAGATCTCAGTATTTTTGTCATTTACATTCTAAAGCCTTACAGAAGTGTGCTTACTGAACAGCAAAATAAAAGTTGAAAGGTAATGTTAATGTATCAAGCCTATATTTTTATTTAATCTAAAACATACTTAAGTTGGTTGTTATTTTAATAATTCTTAGTAATGTATTTTTTTTTTTATTTGTAGTATCTCCTTTTTGCTTCAAGGTTAGAAATAACATTTCATATTCCCTAGAATGAGAAGTTAAACCATTGAGCTTGTTAGTGTGTAGTTTCAGGAATGAATGTTCATTCATGTTTACCTAATGTGACTTAGGCAAAAAGAATGTTTTACTCCTGAAAGTTACCTCTGCTATGTTAGTGGTAGTGGCATTATTTGGGTTAATGACCTCAGGAAATTAAATTAATTTTCTGTAAGCTCTCCCATTAGGAAATATGGGCCTGTTGGGCATTTGATCCCAGTTGCCAGGGAGTGGTTTAGACAAGTCCAGAACAGTTGGAGATCTTGAAATAAATTTTCTGCTAATGAATGTGAAATGTGTACTTGCATATTTAATGCTTGTTACTGAGAAGTGATTTTTGGAATTTTTTGTTTTAGCTAATTTGTACTATTCTTTCTTTCTCTTTTTAATTCCACTTGCTCTTGAACCTCATGATCAATACCTGCCAGTTTGAGAGCTTTATCGCTTTTTACAGTGTTATTTAAATGGTGAGATAAATTAATAAAGACTCCCAAGAGTGTTTCTATCACGGGAATGCTCACTAAGAGTGTTCCTCTCTCAGGAATGCACTAATCACTGCTGGAATTCAGGGAGGGAAACATTGAACATATACAAAATGTGGAAGACACACTTGAAGGAATTTGTACTTTACTAAATTAAAAACAAAAAGTAGAGATACACAGCCTTAGGAAAGTAGGTTTTTTACATCCACTTCTAATTAAACTGTTGGTGGTGTATCCTTCTGTTCCTGGATGTTGCAGTCCGTAACCTCAGGATCTCCTCCAGAGAAGCTGCAGGGTTCGGGGACCAGCATGGAACACCAACAGACGGGCCTTTGTTCATGTAACCATTTATTCAGCAAGGGAACAAACTCGGGTCCAGAGCAGAGAGCCCGGAACAGAGGCAGAGCAGGGGTTTTTGAGGGACAGAACTCTTGAGGGGTCTCCACCTTTGAGGGTGGAGTTCAGGGTCAGGGACCAGTAGAAACACAGCAAGGGAGAAACCCCCCACCAAGGTACTCAAACCCAATCAGAACTCCTGGGCCGTCCTTCACAAGGAGTTTGGGGTGGGACAATGCTTATCTGAAAAGTAACTCTTTTCCTCCCTGGAGGCACTTCACAACACCTGGATATGCCCTAGAATGGTCAGTGCAAGAGAATACTAGAGCAAGTCCCTGTACACTGGAACTTGATCTCCATCTTATGGGTAAAATGTGGGAATCTTGAAGGCACTCTAGCAGAGAGATCAGGACTGCAAATGACTTTACCTGACTGCAATTTCTACATGTGTGTTAGACTTCTAAGCACTTCAGGCTGCTTTTGTTTTTCCTATGTATCTGAATCTGATTAGATAACGGACAAATATTTTCTTTAGAGATTCTGTTCATGTTTGGAGATGGAAAAGCCCAAGATTCCAACTTTTTCAAATTAACCTCTTCTGAAAAATGCCACTGGAATTGGGAGCATGCAGAATTAAGCTGCTTGGCAGGAGTCCTTGGCATGTTAGCTGTGTGTGCAACAAAGTTTTTGTTTTGTATTTATTTTCCCCCCTGGTGATACCTAAACAGTTTGAGTAATGTGATAATTAAAATTTAATAAAAACAAGTTATCAATTTATCTAAATACTTTTGCTGAAATTATAATCAAGCATGACATGAACTGTATGAAAAATTGCTACTGCTTGTTAACTGTATAATTTTAACCAAAAATTAATCAGGCAAGCTGTATAAATGTCATCTTATGAAATGGTTTGCAGTGCACGCCAGAAGCCTAGAGCGAGTTACAGAGAGGAGCGAAGGAGCGGTGCAAGGCTGATTGTGTTTGTGATTGGAGGAGTCACGTACTCGGAGATGCGCAGCGCTTATGAAGTTTCTGAGGCCTACAAGTCCTGTGAAGTTGTTATTGGTAAGCTTGCCATGGGAAACGCACATACGGGGTATGTGCTCTACCGTGTGTGGTTCTGGAAAATGTAAATCATTTTTCTTAGATTCCTTCTGTTGGTTCACCACACTAATGCTATAGTCAGTGTATTTCTTAAAACTATGCACTTAAAAGCATCTTTTCAGGTTATCTCAACTGTTTGATGTTTGGAGGGGTTTTTTTGGCACAAGATGTTAAGGACAAAACAGTTGTGCTCTACAGAAGATTTATGTTAGAGATACGTCAGTGTACAGCAGATGGGATTTCAAGAGACCTCTGTTTCTTTGCATTACAGTTTCCTAACAAACTTTTGCATCTGCCTCTGCTTTATCTCCAGTGGCACTTGCTACTCTAATTGCTTTTGGAAGTAGGAAAGCTGACAGACTAGTGCAAAACCGCTCACTTTGGAAGGAAGATAAGTATTAAAAAACCGCAACAATCCTAATCAAAATCCTACCCAAAAAACTAAACAAATAAACCCCAAACCACTTTTTCAGTGTAGTTTGGTTGACTTTGCAACCTTTTCTAGTTTCTGTTGTGGCTACTTGAGAGGCATAAACCGCACAATGATTAACTACTTGGGTCCTGAAAACTCCCCTGCTTAAGATTTGGCAATTGGCAGCTGGTGTAGTAATCTTTCAGCACTTTGGACTTAGCAAATGCTTGTTCCATCAGCTGCTGTGCTTCAAATGAATTTTAAATAGCATTACAGGAAATAACTAGGTGGTAAAGCATATATATATATATAAATATACAAGGAACAGAGCTCCTGCATACAGAACCTTACCACAGACCTGTGTTCATCTGCATGGCCAGATGATAGCTGGGTTATCTAAAGCATTCTAAATTGCTTGAGAAGTCTATATTTGGCATTTTAATTTAGTCTTGAGATTCAGATTGAATCTGTCTACCATCTGTGATGATTTAAAATAAATACTCTTCCCTAAAACAATTCTAACCTTGATTCTGAGATCTAGAGTCTGTTAGCTCAAAATATTCATTTACAATACATTTACAATTCATATACAAAATATTGTAGGTGTGTTTATGTGTGGTTGGTTTTGTTTTGGTTTATTTTTTTATTTGCTGGTTTCATTGGTGGTGGTTGAGGTAGGTTTAATGCTGGTTCTAGTTCGGAGTGGTAATAGAAAGAGCAGGACAACAGGAATGTAGTTTAACCGGAGTATTTCTTCATCTGAAAGTTGTTTACAATACCATGTTTAGTGTAGATGTAGCTGTTGTTTACTGGTGTATCTGGCACTCAGCACAGCACCATCTTCCCTTTTGTTTACAGATGATTCTTGTAATTTTTGTTTGTAATCCTGATTTCTGAGGGAAGGTGATAGTTGCAAAATTTCCACACGGATTACCGAAAGATTGACATTTGGCTGTGTTCCTGATTCAGAACTCCAAGAATAGTAGCCCATTCAGAGTGACACTACTTGTTGCCTTCAGAACTGCAGGGTGACCCTTCATGGCAGAAGTTATAATCACTCTGTGAGAAAAAGAGAGGTAGTTGTGCATTGAAGAATAATAAGGATTTTCTTTGCTGCTCAAGACTTGAATTTTGTTTTTTCAGGGAAATGCTAGTCAGTAAAAGCCAATTTTCTGTAACGTATTTCTGTGGGACACTACTGTTTGTGGTAATCTTGAATCCAGAGAGTTTCTTGATTCTAGGGTAAAGCCTCTCATTAACTCACTCTTTCACAGAATGGGAGGTTTCTTGCAGGCTGGGACAATTGTCCAGATTCAGTCCTGTCTTTCAAACAGGGCAGAGCAGGACTTGAAATTTGTGTTCAAAGTGAGAGTCCTGATCTGGATGTCTGAGTGTGGGAAGAGGGACATTGCCTACCTAATGGTGACACTTACATGATGGTGCTTTATATGAAAACACTGTGAAGTGCTGTGCTTCTCCATTGTCTGGGTGCAGTAAAAAACACTGGCATGTAACTGATGTTTTAAAGAGGAAGTGTCTGAAAGTCAGAATTTGGCTGATACAGTTCATATTTATGTTCTTTTGTCAGGTTCTACTCATATTTTGACACCTAGAAGACTACTGGAGGAAGTGAAGAGCCTTAGTAAACCCAAGGATGTGGTCCGCATTAAGGATGAATAAATGTGGTGATGTTTATGATGTATTAAAACCACAAACAGTATGTGTACATATTCTAATGGAACTGACTTTTCCAAATACTGCACTTCAATACTACATGGATCCGAATGGGAAGCCATGTTATAATTTAAATTTGCTGCTTTTGGGGGAGTAGAAGGCAGAGAGATGAAAAGATAAACGTGTGTTTCTTAGGTTCTATTTAGTATTACACTACAAGTGGTTTTTCAAAATGGCATGTTTCTTCCTAACTGATTTTTGCTAAAAGTCATTGTAATTATATAGAAACTGGACTTGTCTTTGAGAACTGTGAAAGCTTTCTATAATACAATTTATTTATAAAAATGACTGAATTGAAAAGGACCTAGGCTCTTGGGTAGGGACTTCAAGAGAAAACTTGTAAATATGGATTTATGGTAATAATGTTCCATATAAGTTCAGTGTCTTAAAGTGTAATGTTTTCTGTAAAAATAGCTTGCTCAAAATTCTTTAAATACATGTATTTGTGAAAAATCTAAAGGCTTTTTAGATGGTGCTGGTTAAGTTAGATAGTTAATCACAGAACCATTGAGTAGTTCCAATCACAGTAAATAACTTTGGAGAAATGCTGTTGACTGTGCACTGAAGTACACTTTATATTTAAGTATATACAGAGATTATTATTGAAGCTTTTATAAAAAGTTAATTTCTTAGCATATTCCTTATCATTGTCTATATAGTCTGTCTCTTTCAGAAGTTGAATTGCCTGTGATACAGAAATTCCAAAACTAAGCATGTCTCTTTGAGGAAGTGGAGGCAAGGGGAAAGGAGAGGACAAAAAGGGAAGCAGCTCAGTCTTTCAAAGGGCTTGATCATTTGGAAAAGAAAAACAAAAAGCAATGACAAAAAATGACAAAATCTGATGTACTCAAGAGAATTTACTTTTTAAAAAAATTTGTTATATACTAAGAAATAAATACTTAAATTTGCATTGAAGACAATAAAAAATCAAATTGTATGAGTTCTGTAATACTGGTAATGTTTAGATTTCTCTTTAAAAATTAATTAAAATTACTGATCTTTTAAAGGGCTGTTGTATTTATGTGTCTTGAAATATTAGTTTGTTGTATGTAGAATCCAAGAGAAATGTTATAATGAAAAATAGATTACTTATGTCCTTTTGTTTACATTATTTCCAATGATGAGTATTTATTTTTTGTTTTGTGATTTTGGATTTTTTCCCTTTATTTTTTGCTCTCAGGTTAACCAGTACTTTAAGAGAATGTTTTTGCTAGATGAGTTCATTCAGAGTTAATTAGAAGGTGGAAAAAGGTCAAGTTCTCCCCCTACATCATAGAGGAATGAAAGGGGAGAATGTGACATGATTCGGAAATGTTGCAGGACATGGGGAATGATGAGAATAAGTAGCTTTCAAATGCACCTAAATGAGTTTGGAACTGATTCTACACTGACAATCTTTTTCAGTGGGGCTACAGAGCAACACTTAAATCATCTGGTTCATCAAATACCATGTACATCACAACCTTAAAAAATGCAGCAGAAATATCTGTGTTGGTTTTGTGAATTCTAGTTTATAACACTATCACTGTAGAAATCCAGAGTAAAAATACTTATCTAAGAAATGCTGTGTTCAATGTTGTCCTATGAAATATGCACACTTTGAAATTAGTACTGAGAAATTACACCAAAATTATATGTATTTCTTACACCTTTGGCAAGAAGATCCCAAATTTGTTTTAACAGCTATATGTAGGTGCAATTTCTTTTCCAATTCCTAAAGCTGGAAAGTAGTTAAGTACAGAAGAAAATAGCAGATATTAGTGTTACAGTTAAGGACTGAAATAATGGATTTTATATACTACTGAAATAAATTGTGTTGATATTTTTTAATTTCATAGAGTTGAAGAAATACAAGCTCACAATTCTGGATTACTTATGTATATTCAGGAGTAGTCTTTTCCTATGTCTTTGCTTCAGGCCTATCACCAGCTCAGCCTGATAGCTGATAACTCAAGTCTTAATCTGTTGGGTTTTTTTTGTATCCCTTATCCTCCTTTTCCATCAGGCAAAGCAAAGCCAAATGTTACTGAAAAGGTGGAATAATAAACATGCTTTATGATAGGACATCTTACAAGCTGTTTTGAGCTACATATTGGTGTGAAGGGGGTAGGTGGAAGTTCTATTCAAGACATTTGGGTTTTTTTTCCCAAGGATCTTCTCTGCTACATTTTTTCTAGATCAAGAATGATATTATCAAGGATGGGAAAGAATTCTGTCAGGATAAACAAAAACTTAGTTTTTCAGAGTGCATGTACAATGTATAGTATAATTTTGAAAGTTCATATTTTCATGTTATGCATATTAAAATACTGACCTTATCCTACATGTGGGCCCAGCAGCTGATTTTTAAAGTTGAATCTGGAAATCTGGACAAGATTCAGAAATTACTAAGGAAAATCAAAGGGATAGAACAATCTTCATGTCAAGAATGGCTAGACATTTTTCCCCTTGACCAAGGTTAAAAAAATCATGGTGGAGTGTGTGATGGAAGCCACAGAAATCCTGTTAGTATTCCGACTGAAGGATTATCTTTCTAATCAGTATGTGAAGTAACACATGAAACCTGCAGCTGTCAAATCAGAACTAAAGGACCTTTAATATCCAAGATGTCATGCAGTAATGACATAACGTAAATTGTTATATGAGGAAAAATATCCTCAACATAAGACAAGTATTTGTAGGGCTAATATATATAAATGTTACTGCTGATTTGGAGGGCTTCTTGGTTTTCAATTTGTCAGAGAATGTTCTGACATCACTATGTGATTGTCCTATTCAGTCTGATCTTTCTTAGGCAGTTGCTGTCAGGCACAGGACAGCAGGTGCAGGGATCCAGGATAAACAAAAGGTGTAGAACAAGCTGTTCTTGTGATGTGGAGAGATTTCTGTGAGAGATGAATCTTTATTGCATTTAGGAAGCTGCAGTAGTTATTTATTAAGTTCATTTGCAAATAATGGGGACATTCCAAACATTAAAATAAATAAAGCAAAATCAGGGATAATAAGCAGAGGCAAATGAAGTTATAAGGATATACAGTAAGAGGCTAAGGAGGAAAAGAGTTGAATGATATTGTTTGCTGTGAAGGGTGGAAGAGACCCTAAAAAAAGCTGTTGACTCAGGCTAGTGAGTAAGTGGCACATGGCAGTGAGTTTAGCTGTCACTGCTTGTCTGAACAATCTGTATTATTTCTGTATCCACCACCGATGAAATTGCTCAGGTTTGCCTGAAAATGACTGTCCTTTTTAAGGCATGTACTGCCATTTCTAATTTGGTTTTCATCAGTCCTTATGTACTTTGCCTTCAGTGAATAGCATTCCTGATAAAACAAGGCTATTTACTGTTTCTCTTTAGTCACTTCAATTAAATGGATGTTAGAAGGAAAATAATAGATGACTTTTCTTGGCTTACTGAATTTCTATAGTATTTAAAAATTTTCCAAGCTACTTACTATCAGCTAAAATGTCAAAGCCAGATATATCTGAGAAGTTAAGGACATCACATTGAAGGAACCAATTTAATTGTTCCTAGCACATAAACAACAAATTGTGTAATTCCGACATTGCAACAGACAAGGATGTTTCTTAAACAATGTAGGGCACCCTAAAACCAAAATAATTCCAAATGTTGACTATGACTTGGTATGTTAACATGATGTTTGCTTCTAGATGTCTCAGGTACAGAGGCTGTTTTCTCTTGGTGTGATTAAGCAGCTGCTGTTCAAATATGGGAAGAAATGATATGTAGTAATGACTGAGGTTTATTCTCACACTTGGGGAATGGGGAGAAAATACAAGTCTGAAAGTTAATTTTGTGTGTTTAAGCCAATTTTTGTTAAGCTGTCTTAAGTGAATACTTGGAGAAGGTATCTGTACACAGTAATGGGGATCAGCCAACCTCCTAAAGATCTTCAGTAGAATTAATAATTTCTTTTACAGTTCTAAGACTGAGTGTAAATACGGAATACCTATATGCTCTAGTTTGGTTTAGTATTAATAGGTACAGAACAGCTGACAAAGTTAGTTAGCTGACTTTTTCATGTTTGTGTTCATGATTTTATTTTTGCAGAGATACTAACACTTGAACATGCTACTAACAGCATGAACCACCAGAACAATATAGCATTTGAACTAGATAATTAAAATGGTTTTCTTTTAGCTTTAGCTAGATCTTCTGAAACTGCTTGTACCATTCGCTCTGTAGCTTTCTTCAAACTGTTTGCTGTCTCTATGGCATGATCCAGAGTAGAAGTTAAAACCTGTTGGAAATAACATACTCTTGTCAATAGTGAAGGCAGATGTATACACAGGTACTGGGAAAAAGGTGATGTTTAAGGTTTTGTGTATGATTTTTGCTCTGAATATGTGTTGAGAAGTAAAAATTGTGTGATGTGATAGACCTCTAATAGGATTCAAGTTGGAAGTATCTGTTAATTATTTCTGTCTTTGACTGTGTATTCATTTGAACTGAGGGACATTTACACATTTCTAATGTATCCGCTTCACTGATGCATGGTGCATGTTTTTGGTCCTGAGAAGGCTTTATTGAGGTTTTGATAGTGGTTTGTCTAGCTAGGCTTTGTTTCAGTATATGAAACATAATTCTAGAGATAAGATCCCATGCTATTTTTTGGTCTGTTTCACCATTTATACAGGGACTAAGTTATACAACAAGCCTGTACATACCTGTATGAAATAATATACTAACATATAAGACAAAATGCTTTGGGTTTGAACTCCCTTGTCTTACCCTCAAATGCACTACACATGCTTAGATTGTAGTAATCAGTTTGCTAAGAATGGGATGTTCTGCAGTGCCATGATGTAGGGAGATAATCCTTTCAAGAAAGTTGTGTGGTTTTTAATTTTCACTCAAAAGTCTTACATTTACATAGGAATCATTGGTGTTTCTGATGTTGATTGCAGATTTTCTTTGGGCAGATTTCTTACTGGGTAGGTATTGATGTGAAAGGATAATTTTATCATATGTGCTTGAACAGCAGGTTTTGGCAGCCTCAAAGGATTTCCTAAAGGTAAGATACGTAGAAAAAAATACAATTTAAGTAAGAAAAATAACTTCTAAACTATGAATTACATACATGCACCATGATAGCACTCAGTTAATTTTACTGTGAGTAGAATTTTCCATTGAATTGTAGAGCACAGTCCATCATTATTTGTTTTCTATCTGCATTGCAGTAAGACAGAAGATGCTGTAGGATGCAGAGTAAGGAAATTTCTCATAATAGCAGCACTCTGCTGCTGCTGTAACTTTCTCTGACAGTGTTCTATACCACTGATTCTCAAGTGCAGCTGGTGTACTTCCAGGCAATTACTGCTATTGAGTAAAGCTGTCAGAAATACTGTGAGAGAAATTGTTTGCATTTTAGTACCAGTTAGGAATCCATTTTATTTCTGTCCCACAGTGTAATTTAATGTTAACAACAATTAAAAGTAAGACTGTTACTTATAGAGAAATACTTGGCAGCAAACAGAGCTGCATCCTTGTAATATAGGCTTGCTTTTGAATCTTTGAATGGGAACATCATCTTAAAATAAATTTTTGTTTTCATTATTAAATGTGTAAGCTAAAGAAGTTACATTTTTGCTCTTCATTAAATTAGGTGTGAAGAACTAATCTAAGAATTGTTTACACATGTTTTTACAGTAAATATTTTAATTTCACTAAAGAGTAAAATTCTGATATACAACATGCACTGTGAAAGAGAAAACATTCTTCCTGGTTGATACCTGGTGTGTTTCTTCCATGCTGAATCTTCAACAGTGGTGTTTTCTGTTGTACTATATAGTTGTTACTACAGCTTACCTTTCACAAAGTCTGGTTACAGCTTCACCTGGCTGCTTGGTTTTTTGAGTCTTCTGGGTGGAGATTCTCTTTTGTGAATAAGCTGGAGTTGTTGAGGTCATGTTTAAAACAAAAAAAAAAAAAAGGTGATTTTCTATGTATTAACTTTTTTTTTCTCTTTAGCATAAATTAAAGATCAAGTATCACTATCACTGCTGAATAAAACTTGAGAATATGAATATGTTTATTCTATATATGTAAACTTAAGAAAAGAATATGTTTAAAATTTTTTGTAAATGAGGACAGATTAACCTTTTTGTGCTTGCTCTTGAGTTTAGTTTGGCAAATGGAATGGAGATTTATATTCAGTTTCATGCAGTGAAAGACTGCAGTGGGGAAGTGTACAATAGCCAGTGTCATAATCCTAATAATTACATGAACACTAGTTCGATTTGTAGTTTCACAGGATTGCTAGAGACAAATAACTAACTTATACTTTCTTCTTGATGAAATGTTGTATTTTTCTTTAAGAATTTTTTTCTTATGCTAGAGAGTCTGTGACTTTAAAAGGTACATGTTCAGATGATCAACATTTAATTTTTTTTAATTAGGCTCTCCTTGACTTTGCTGCATTGTCACATGATATGAGTGTAGAACTGGAATTTTCTTTAGCACTTGTTTATACTATATTAGGTAATGGCTGGCACTATAAAAGTTGGCACAGTAATGCCTAATTTTCATATCTTTTCATGTGGCTCTGCAAAATGAGATATTCCTGCTGTAAATGAAATATGAAAGGGATTCCTCTTATAAAGCACCAGGGAAAGTTAAATCTGTAGTGCATGGAGATTAAACTTGACCAGGTGTGTAAAAGTTGGATTTACAGTGCTAATGACTGCTTATACTAAATTAAATGTGGTCTGGTATGTGCAATGTCGCTTTCTGCCCCTTAAAAGCTAGCCTGTGTTTGTTAATTACACATCATACTTACAGGATGAACCAGAGCTGCTTTTTCTATATAAGGTACAAGACTGAACAGACTCTTTGTAATTCCTGAGTTTTACTTGATCTCTGCTTCCCCTGGGGCATTTGCATCTAAGTCCTGGAAACAAAGATGTGTGGTTTAGAAAAACAAAATTACAAGCAGTGTTTCCTTGTAGATGTTCATATTTTTGCAATCACTGTACCTTTTCTCTCTCCACATAATCTTGTATTTAATGATTTGTAACTTAGAGTGTCACAGTTGACAAGGTCCTTGCTTTGTGAATCATTATAAGAATCGCAGGCTGAGAAGTCCTCTGAATCGCTGCCTAAAATTCAAGAAATAAGTTAAAAGGGTCAGAAATATGAGAAGCTCTGGCTAATGTACTCAAGTAATTATTTGGCTTTCAGCACTGTAATTTCAGAGCCTTTTGCTGCCATTAATGCTACTGCAATTTGAGGAAGTACTTTTCACCCCCAGGAGAGTGGGGATTGAACTCGAGATTAGCTTTCAGCCCTGTCTGCAAGCTTTGGATGTAATTTCCTGGTGGTGCTTATTTTCAGCTCAATTTCAAGAATTGTTGTTTGTGTTTTTGGTTTTTTTTTTAATGAAGTTCTCCATCTCCCCATGTCCATGGTGTTACGGAAACAGTGCAGCATAATAGGAATGGGATGAGAATATAAGCAGCTCTAGTATGGCACTGCTTTAACTATTGCACCAACCAGTACAAACAGTAATCCCAGTGTATTATGTTAAATTAAAAGGATATCACAGAAAAGTTAAGGACAACTGGTAGACAAAAGGTAAGAAAACCTGTATATTCAGACTTAAAACTGAATGTAGGATAGCTCATGCTATTCTCCTTTAGTTGCTGGTTACTAAAAGCTTCAGAATATTCTGCAGTGGAAAGGTAAAATTGCTTTTGAAACTTATCTAGAAAGCTGAATTAGATATATAAAGAAATTAAGGTTGGACAGGACTTCTGGAGGTCATTGATTCTGTCCCCTCTCAAAGCAGGCTCAACTTCAATGAAGTTGCTTAGAACCCTGTCCAGTTGAGTTCTGAATATCTCTGAGAATGGAGATGTCACAGCCTCCCTAGAGTAAACTGTTTCAGTGTTTGACCAAGTTAAAAATCTTTGATTCATATCTAACAGAAAACTGCATTGCAACCTGTCTGTTACCTCTTTGTCTGTCACTGAAAGTTCCTTGAGACACAAAAGGAATGTATTTCTTCAGAGAATTCCCTAGCAGGTTTAGGCACAGTTCTAAACCTTTGTGTGCCCTCATGACTTACTCAGGTTGGTATCTGATAAATCAGTTGGTTTTCTCTGTATGAAGAGTGGAGATGTTCCAGTTTTTCTTTCCGGGATATCTGTATTTCTTTGAGCATGAAAACAGAATATTTTAATTGTATCTTAATATTTATATGATGAAACTTATAAATGTCTTATACTAAAACTTATAAATGTCTTATACTAATAATTAATTGCTTCTTAATTGAGAAGAAATCAATTTATTCATAGAAAGAACTTTACTTGTATCAGTTATCTGAAGAGGTGGTAAGCAGAAGCTAAAATTAATAATTAACCAGTTGAAAAATAATGAACCCTTTCGTTAAAGGACACATTCTGACAAAACCACCCTGACTTCCCACAGCTGTTAAAAATGTTTAAAAGTAGATATCTTGATAATCCTGTATTGAAAAAGGAAAATAGTATGAAATCTTAAATACATCCATTACAACTGATAGCGTTTTGATGCAACGTATGTTAAATACTATTTGGTTTCTTAGTAACTTTGAGCTATTACTAAAGCTTTAATTTAACGCCTTTAGATAATTGGAGGAATATTTGACATGTACCTTTTGAAAGAAAAAGAACAAGGTTCCTTGTTAAGAGTTATTTGATGTGTATTTTTATCTTTG